ATTATTATATATATATATATATATATATATATATATATATATATATATAATAATCTTCAATTGCTTGTGATTTGTTATATACTTATTGTATTTCTATTAGTTTTTTTATTATAATTTATCGTTATTTTTATATATATATATCTATATTTACCTATTATTTTTTAATTTTTCATTCATATTTCAAATATATGTTATATGTTATATATATTTTTATAATTTAACATCATTTGTGTTGTTTATTTGCCATTTATTTATTTATTTATTAATATATATTTGTAGCCGAGAACGCGGCGAAGGATTACATTAAAAAAATGGCCTTCTTCTTCCCGCCGGACAGATTACCGAGATTCGATTGCTTGCTGTTGGGCTTGGGTCAAGATGGACATACATGTTCGCTGTTTCCGGGTCACCGGGCCCTCGACGACGAAAATATGTGGGTCACGTGGGAGCTGAATGCACCAAAACCACCACCTAGTAGGATTAGCCTCACCATGCCGGTCATTAATAATGCTCGCATGTGTATGTTTATTGTCACAGGCGCCAGCAAAGCCGAGACCGTCAAAGTAATCATCCAATTTTCATATAAATTATTTGAACTTAATCTTGCAATTTTTTATCTAAGAAATCGACATAATTTCTCAATATATTTCTAATTAGATAATTCAACAATTTTTAATGAGTGAAAAATAAAGGAATAATAAAAAAAATAGAAAATTTAGGACTATATTTAAATTATTGTTCACAGAGGATCTTGAGAGACAAGGAAGATTTGCCAGCTACTAGAGTGGAACCAATTGATGGTACTCTTTTCTGGCTGCTCGATCAAGAAGCGGGCAGACTACTCAATTCAGACTGAAACACAAGGTGGGCTAAAGACCACTACAAGATTCACATCGACTTTATAACATTCCATATATTAAAACAAGTTTTGTAATTCTACTTTTTCTCTAAATTTTTCTTTAACTCTATATTTTAATATGCATTTTTTTCACTGCAATTTACTATTAAAGTCGATAGAATATTTAAATAAGCGTGCTCGTACCAAAGGCGTGCGAAAATGACTCGTGAGAAAGTTGAAGACAACTTTCGATTGATATTGCTCAACATGTCGTTTATATAAAAGAAAAATGTGCAAGCTTTGTTAAGCTCGTAAATCAACATGCATATTGTAAAAAGGCAAACAATATTTAATAAGAAAATAATAAAATTTGCATTTTGAAAAAAAATATATATAAAAAGTAAGGAAATAATTTAACTTCCTTAATCTTCATAGAAATCAAAATAACTTTATCATAAATTTTTACGACTATCGCTATCTTATAATCATTCTTTGAGAAAAGAATGAATTTGACTTTAAACTCAGGATTGTGATATTTAAGACAAGTTCAAAGAGAATAATCCTAATTTATTTTAATTAAGGATTATTTATTCTTGCCTGAATTAATATCTTTCACCCTTCATCATTCTTCCTTCGTTATCTGGAAGGAATTCACTTAACTTCTTTTTTTCCTTTTCAGTCTTCAGTCTTTTGCTTTAAATAAAAAAAGAGATACTAAAAAATTGTTATTTTAATTTTTATATTTTTATATTTGTTATCGTAAGAAATTTATTAAATTTATAAGAATGTTGAGTATAGTACGATTACTTATAGAAAATGTTTTCTTTCGCAGATAATTGCAGAAGAAACATTATAAAGACATTAATCTCTTTAGTGATATATATGATGAAAACTAAAAAGAACAATTAAAGAAGAAAAAATTTTGACAATACAAATTCTAATATTAAATTATTGCTTATAAGATCAGAATATTTTTTATTTCAACCTGCGATTTCATTTTTCATATATACGAGATGTAATAGTAAATCGCAAATTTGTGATGCAGCCATCAATTACTTTCATATTAAATTGGAGGGTAATCCTCTCTTGATAAATAATATTCATCAAACTTATAATATTCATGACTTGGAGAAATTTTAATATTTTCCATCTTCATAACAAGTATGATTTTTGTTGTCTAAGAACTTCTCATTTACAAATTTCTGTTGTTTAAATAATATAAGATTATTAATATATAATTATAATAATAATAATTTGATATAATAATGACTATAATTAGATACATAAGTTTTTTTACTAGCTGTTTTTTTTCTTCCAAAACATCAGGTGTAATAAAAACGTGCAAAAATGAGTGTATATATGCTGTATTAATTCGCAAGATCAATAATAAATAGCAATTATGTACACATATATAAATTAACATTTACATTTTTTGCTATAAGAAAAACGTCAATTTCGTTTGATCTAACAACTCATTCACACGATAAATATTTCGATAATCTTCTAAAATATTAATAAGATCAACATAAAAATTTTGTTGAAAAATAATTAGAAAAATTAATTTTTGATAAAAGTCTCGAATGTAAAAGAAAGTTATACAATTACAATTAAAATATTTTTATAATTATACAAGGATAATACATCTTAATGTTTTTTTGATATTTCAATTTCTCTAATAATTTATTTCTTTTATAAATTTAAAAACTGAATAAAATTAAATTAAAACTAAATTATTTTAATTTCATAGAAATTGATCTTCATTTCATGAAGATAGTTTCATGTTGTTCTCAAAGACAATTGGTATATTTATCGTGCATGAGTTATTGCTATTTCTCGAATATCGATAAACAACATGTCTAACTGTACATGTTTTATAATACATTTAAATACATAATATACATAGTTCATAAATTTGCGGAACTTATCTAGGGGAATGAATCGTAGCAACCGGAATATAATAGTAAACCGGAGTAAACGACCGGTGAAATCGAGTTTATATACGAAGTATTAACAAGATCGAGATGAAAACCGAGCGCCGCGTGATTCATAACAATACAGCAATTAATAATGTCAAATTATACGAAAAACTTGATCCGTTGAATCACTATTTTAACCTCTTTAACTTTTAATAAAAATCATTTTTACATAATACACGGTAAAATATATATTTTTTATATAGAAGAAAAATATCAAAAATATATAATAATTAGCGAAAGACTGTTTTTCTAATTTTAGAATTTTTAATTTTCTTCTTCTATTTATAAAAATATATATAGTCGCATTTAATAAAGAAAATTTTAAATAAAAAAAAATAATTTTCTAAATTATTATACAAGATTAAAAAATATATTAAAAAATATAAAACTGAATGTTGATTACAATTTGTTTCATACCATACGGAACACTATCCCAATGGATCAAGTTATATTAATATAATTTTGTAAAATGAATTTTCATAATCTATAAAATGTTGATAAATCACGCGGAAAGGAGTTTACAATCATATACATATCACAGTATCAATGTATAACTCGATTCTCCATCCTCCCAATTAAAACAAAATCATTTAGATCGATATTAAAACACTTTATACAACGAAATTTTGCAAACATTCAAGTCAGAATCTGAATTTTATCCATAAATTATAAATTTAAAATTATAGCAATTAAACACATAATTTTTTATTTTTAAGATTTTATTTAAGAATTTTAAATAAAAATTATATAAAAATATTAAATTACATTTTTTAATTACAATACAATCATATTGTGTGAACACTATTTTATATTTTTAAGTTATGATACAAAATTACAATGTTTTTGTTTTAAATATAATTAATAAAATTATATAAAGTAAAAAAATTATCGTAATATAATTTATCTAATAAATTTTTTTAAAAATGACACTGACTTGAATGTCTGCCGATAAAAATTTTTATACTAAATGATAATCGAGAACTGGCTTTTCCTTCTTTGATCGCTGTTCACTTAAAACTTGCTCATGTATTTGTTTACAAAGAGATATAATACTTTTCTTATACGCAAGACATACTTTGTACTGTGTTTACTCACCGAAATAAATCATTGCATTATAATAATAATAATCTATACGACAGCAATTGCTAAAAAATCGATTTTGATTCGCATTATTTTTGTCTAATTTATTAATATTAAAAATATATGAAAATCTTAATAAATTATTAAAAAATTGCTCAATTGATCGAAAAAGTTTCTCATGTTGTAATAAATAAACACTTTTTAAAGCCTTTTGTCTTTCTTTTTCTTTATTCGTTTTTTTTTTCTTTGAGGAAAGACGAACGAATGCGTTTTATCGCCAAACGATCATTCGTCATGTCGATGATTATAACGAGTGGAGAGAAAGAGAGAGGAATAGAGAAAAAGAGGAGAAAGAGAGAGAATAAATTAATTAATTGAATTAATCAGTCACCTAGCATTCATGTTCATCACGTCATGTTGACACCCAGTGCCTGCCGGAAATGTTCATATACTACATAACTAATAGATACAGCAGGTGCAACCTGCAAAAAAATCATTTGTTTATATTTAATAATAATCAAGTATACAACTTTGCGTTAAAAATTTTAATCTTTCTTTGATTTATAACATCAATTATTATATAAATCAAAAGATTATCTAATAACTAAACTATAATTTAGTTTACTAACGTCTATTAGATGATCTTTTGATTTATGTAATAATTGATGTTATTTGCATAAAATTAAATTAATGTAAAACTTCATAATAAATCAAGAAAAATTCTATAAGTTTAAAAGGAAAATTCTAAAAAATTCTTTAAAATATAATATTTATGCATTATCAATCGTACCTTGAGAAAATTAGGCATGAGGCCGCGATACAGACCACGTATTCCCTCGCGATAGAGAATGTCTTTGAAGACACCTACCATGGTGTTGGGCGAGCGATCAGGTTCAATCTCGGCTTGCAATCGCGTTCGCACTAGCGCTAATGGATACGAGCACACTTGACCTGCTGTGCTCGACGCAGTGCCGCACAGCAATAGAACCCAAAATGCCGGTTGTTCCTTCTTGTCATGTGTACGTAAGTAACTATTTTTCAGCGTCTGAAAACATATTTGTTCAAATAATTATCAAGAATAATCGTTAAGAAAACTTTTATATCCACTCAAGCTACTTATCGAATAAAATAGCATAAATTTAATTATGTATAAATATTATGTTATTGCAATATCCATGAGATCAAAACAATGTTCAGTCACGACTTACTTCGTAAACAGCTAAATCGATGCCGGCATAAGGAAGTATTCCTATTAAATTAGGTACATAGCCTCTGTAGAAAGATTTTAAACCGCCTTGCTTATATATCTTCTTCGCCGCATCAACCATGCCATTAAACTCGCCTGTTTTTCGCAACGCGAGTCTCGTCTTGAGCACCTGCAAGTTTGTTATACATATATATATTTATTCGTCGTAGTTTCATGTGCGTATATCTACGCTAAGAGATAACGATAAGAGAACACAACATAGAAAAAAATTTACGTCTTTTGCCTGATATGACAATGCAAGGAATTTAAAAATCGCAAGATAATAATGGAACTGTACCTCAAGAGGATAGATGACCGATTGGCTGATACCACCGGCCATGGAGCCAGCACAAAATCGCTCGTAAAGTCCGAGCTCGTGCGTCTCGTTGTCCGCTTTGATCGCCCGCTTGACTTGCTCGTACGCCATAAATTTGAGTGCAGTTTCCGGGCCAATCTTGAGCACGTTAATGCCATTGCCACGCCACAGACTGCTAATGCCACCCTCACGCAACATGTACCTGAAGCAACTCATGATATTGCAGTGTCGTGTGCCGTGGACCTGTAAGGATGATCGGACGATTCTCTCGTCGTATTAAAGCAAACTAGACAAATTTACTCGCTCGCTCGACATAGCGAATTGTTTCAATGCATAATAATGATTTTTGGATTACATTACTTAATCTAAATATGGATTAAATAAATAAAATATATAATCTAGTTCTCAAGTAAAAAATATACAATATATGTATATGTAATTAAATTTTACAAGTTTACAATTTTTATAAGTTTATAAGTTTACAATAAATCATAAAATATATGTATTAGTAAAAATTTTCTGACAGTAAATTCAGAGTTTTTTAAATCAGATAAATTGAAAACAAATCATGCAAATGCTTACTTGTAGATACACCTTAATACGGTCGAGAGGCGCGGTACAGGTACGTGATACCGCACCTGCTATTCCACCGGACAATAAATGTCTCCACCACATTCCCGACACCATTTCACCCTTTGTAAACTCTTCGGGGACGCCAATGTCCTCTCCGATATCCATATACTGTAAACAGAAAAGAAATCGTTCGCGATTATTAAATGCATAAGCAATCTGATGACCAAATCATTCGATAGATAGACAGAGATTGGAGAACGGTAAGATTGGAGTATTCCATTATCGATAAAAATAATTATAAAAGATTCATAAATTTTCCGCTTCCCTTTATTAAAATTCATTAGTTTAGCTTCCAATAGTTTAGCTTCAAATAATACGTATTATCACGTCTGTACCTAATTTGTGTAAAATAGTGTTTTGTCCACTTATACATATTAACATATTCGCGTAAATTTTCTTGTACAAGTCTGCTTCATATTTTGTAAAAAAATATTAATTTTATTCACGGAAATAAATTATAGAGATTTACGTTAACTTAATTGATAAAACATCGTACATCAATAAAATATTAATACAATAAATAAGATGATAATTCAAGATTTATATATAATTATTTATATATAAACTTGCTGTCAAAAATATATTCATATCGATTTTATTTATATTCATCATCATTTTTCTTTCTTTTTTTTATAGAAATTCACTGAATTTCTATTTTAATAAATATTTTTATTTGTCACTTTCCAAATAAGCGATCGCAACTTTGAAACAATCAACGTTTAATGAAAAAACATCGATCGACTAGTTGATAAGATTACTATTTATTATCTTTGACTTAAATCTGGAATACTGTATATGTAAATCGTTTAAATCGCTTATCGATTGCAGTAAAATACGAAACATTGCAACATCATGTTTCAACAAAGGTAATCACATCCGTACAATAGCACCTATTGTATTACAAATATCTGTTACAAAACTCACGCGTATTGTAATTTAAAACTTGACATATCGAAGCTCGCGTATCGTAAAAAGAGACTTCAATTTAGATATTCGTACGATACGATATTTTTATTTTCACAAAGGTTCCAAATTTGTTCTAATATCCAAATTTGTTCTAGCACCTCGTTATTTGAATCTATTTGTATACAAATTTGTATACAAATACAAATTACGAAAATATTCACGAAAGTATTCAACAATGCTTCCAATAGAGTCCAATTTAAATCATTAGAGTCAAGATTTATTTGTTTAGTCTACCTCCTTCAGCTAATCTCGCAGTCATAACTCGTGACGTAATAATTTTACGAAATCACGATCGGCCTGGCTAGTCGCAGGCAAACTAAGAAACATTGCTGTAATACACTCGATGCAATAATGCGTGATATCGCGAAGGAAGTAGGATGTTTCGAGTAGAGTGACTCGTGAATCGTCGAACGTTAAAGTCGAGCGAACTAAAAAGGTTTCCTCAGAGTCTTCTAGCCCGATTGGGCGACGAGCCAGACAGTCGACAGATGTAATATCCTAGGCTTCCTTCTAAGCTACATTTTCCGCACTCAAAATAAAACAAGTGTATCGGAAGCAAAGCGGAAAGACGTGTAAAGCATATCTCATCCGTACTTTGAACCGCCGATTCTTTCGTCAATTTGGAGTTACATCTTTCTATTGTTTTTTCATATTGCCACAATCACCAAGTAATCCGATATTAAAAATTAATTGGTGGCGATGGAAAATAAATCGCTGTATCTATAATAATGTATCTGTAATATAAATAAAAGTAACGAATAACAAAGTATCTTCTTATATGCGAATCTTCAAATTTGGTTTTCTACGAAAAAAAAAAAAAAAAAAAAAATACTACAAAGAGAAATATCCTGTCGCACGGTATAACAAAGGAAAAAAATTCCTTTCGTAATCTACCGCATCTCTCGTGTGTATGTGTGTACGTATAAATTTAATATGCGTTGCACATATGCTCGGACGACAAATTCTTGAAAATCGCATTCCGGAATCACTTTCGCTGTCTAGCTTCGACCTTCTCTCGCGCGCTTTCTTTTTTAGTTCGAAACGGAATACTTCGGTGAACTTGGAATCCGATTGGCTATCTGATCCGATAGCCTCCCGCCGTTCTCTACTCACCCGTTGCAGGAGTTCATGATAGCCCTGCAGAAACTCCTCGCACACTTGACATGTGGACAGGCTGCTATCGTTCGAGAGAAATTTCGTTTTCTTGAAGGCGTACATGCTGCGATCAATTAGCTGTAGTCGCGAATCATGTGGTCGCGCACATGCTCGTCGCATGAAGTCAGGCTGCACTGCTCACTCACTTTGAAATCAGCCGCATTACTCACTTGCTTCGAAATCAGTTGCGTTTTTCTTTTCTTTTTATGTTATCTCCTCCTCTTCGGAACGATTCTCTCTATTCTATGTCGTTCTATTCTTCTCCCCTGTTACTTCTTTCTTTTCCACTTGCCCCTAATAATTCAAATTATTGTTCTTCCTTTCTCTTTATATTCCTGTTACATATTTTTCTCGTTTTTTAATATTAACTTATTCTTTGAAGAGAAATCGCCTGGTTTATTGTAATATTGAACTAGATTGTTGAACCGAATCTTTCCTCCGTCTTCTTCCTTCTCTCCTATCGTAATTAAATATGTTTGATATATCGCACGTTTGAAATCACGTGGTAGCTTTCATGAAGTCAGCTTGCACACTCGTGTAACTTTCGCGAACTTTCGAACTTTCTATCCAGCGAGATGTTCGCGCTAATCGGGGTTGCGTAAATTCTCGAGAATTCCCCTCCTCGTTGTCCTCTATATCTTTAGATCACGATTCCGGCGACTTGTGAAAATGGCTCGCGACAATTTGGCAGTCTAAAAATCGCCGGATGCTGATCGAGCAATTGAAGGGTCGGACGATTTAAAGGCAGCTGAGACATGTGGTCGAGGACAGAACGCGGGTTCCGTTAAGAGCAGTTCTAAGCAGTTTTAAACAATCCTTGATGGTAAATAGGAGGGAAACGAGCTACGAACCGGCGATTCGAGCGCTCGGAGTCTGGTTGCGAGACTGACGAGAGAGTACAAGGAAAAACCCGGAGACATCGAGATATCGCCCCCTCCGAAACAGGGAACGCCTCCGTCTACTCTGTCTGGTCTTTTCCCCTCTTTCTCTTAATCATTGCTCGTTCCATCGACGTCAGAGCACGCGCGTCATCGAGGCAAATACCCGTGCGATGACGACGATCAAAGTCGGCGGCCGCTGCGCGCTTCACAGTGCAAAGTTTACTCGCAAGCAATAGTAGGGCAAACTTATTAAGTTCTAACTGTACTTTCTACACTTTGATACTTTGTACACATATACAATAATTGTTACATACTACCTTTATATAAATTATAATTAAGAATACATTAATACTATCTAATATTTTATATATATGGACAATAAAACATTATGCCTAATTATACTCTTATTAATATTTATTAATATTATATTAATTGATGTTAATTTACTATTAATTAACTATTAATAATTATTATTTAATTTTATTCTATTATTATTTTATAATAATAAAACTCAGTTATTATTAATACATATTATTACTATTGGTTTTTGAAGTAAACATAATAATTTAATTTTTTACTATTTTTAAAAATAATTCATTGTAACTTACTAAGTTAATAATATTTAATATAATAAGAGTAAGAGTCTAAATTGAATTATTATTTAATGACATAATATATAGTGTAATATTAAAACAATATAATTAATAATAATGATAAACTGAGTGTCATCTTCTCAAGGATCCTCATTTCGGGATTTTACGTATTACGTATTACGTATTACGTATTACGTATTACGTATTACGAACATCAACAAAAATTACAGAATTTATGAAAACATCCATATATATAAAAGTTTATATATATTCTTTACATGTATGTAAAATAATTCCTAACATTTACATCAATATCTATAATTAAGTCTATTTTCATAAAATATATTTTATAGATCAAAGTTGAGCACCACTGATATGGCGTAATAAACAGCTGACGAAACATTGCGTGAAATTTCGTCAGATAAACTTATTGAAAATTCGGCTTTCATAATCTAACTAAATATTTATCGAACATTTCTTAAAATGTCAATATCTACTAAAGCTGAAAATTCATGTATACATTTGTATGTGTATAATATAAAATGCTAAAACAAATGGTCCATAATACGCTTTTTATACATGGACATTACGGTCCAGACACCCGATATTTCCGTAAATGTTCAGCGGGTAACATAAGTAGGTAATATGAATAATGGAACACTCAAACATGATACATGTATCCGACATCATTATAACTTTAACATAATTAAATTAAATTATATAAAGTACTCACCGTGGTGTGATGCCAGTATTCGATAATATCGAGCAAGGTAGTACTTGGGGCATAGAGGAGAAAGTCCCGCCATTCGTTGAAACTGATGTTGAGACTTCCATCTTGGTCCATGCTACGCCAACAATTAATTTATCAGAGAATATATATTATTGAAATATAATGTAATATTCTTATAATAAATTTTAAATAAAAAATTAATAATTTTTAAGCAATTCATAAGATTTTACCGTTGTAATAATTTTGTTGCTTCCTCTCGCGCTATTTCTATTCCCAGCTCCTTGAAAGCTCTTATCAGTTCTTCTAAATCTATCT